GACAGCATTTCTTTGTACCTAAAACAGTTACGCACTGAATGTAAGTATTTAGGATACAGAGAATAAATCAAGTGAATTTAAAATCCAGCTGCCTGCAGCATTCAAACAGTCCAAAACACTGCAAACAATCGTAAAGCAGAAGGTATGCAGCATACTGTAACCTGCATGACCTGAATGTGTCGCGCATTAAATCCAAATTGGTAATAAAGGAGTCACTCTGGATGCAGATTGGTTTGAAATATAATGGAGTAAGACAACATCTGGAGGAAAAAGTATTTTCTTTGATTTCACCCAACAAGAGTAGCATAATCGTATTACATCATAGATTTGAATTTAGGAAACCACTTTTAACTACTTGTCCCTTCCAATTTCTCTCACCAAAGTTCCTCCTTGGTGCTTATTGCTTGCAACATTATCTTTTAATTAAATAGTGGCCAATTCAACATGTAATCTCTTACAGTTCACCAGTCATCCAGTCAAATTGATTCAAAGTTTTCTATCTAAGGAAAACCAATTGATTGCATCGACTCATTAACTCGAAGGCAATCCCTCACACTAAGCATGCTTGTAGCGACAGTGGAGAGGAAAAATTCCCTTTTAACAGGAAGAAACCTCCAGTAGAACCAGGCTCAGTGTGAGCGGACATCTGTCGAGTCCAACTGGGGTTTGAGGAGACAGAAGCAGAGATACAAAATTAACTGTAAAAGGCGGCCCCATCCAGTAAACACAGCCAGGCAGACGAGCTTCGAGCTAAATCCCATGTCAGAGGATGAAGAGAGCACATCCAGCCAGTCACAGTCAGAGAAACAGGACTACACGTGAAAAACAGGCCAATCTCCAACATCTATAAACAAAGGTGTTGATGGCAGCAGCATAGTTGATATTTCTCTCCAGGATGGAGTCACAGCCAAACAGGAACAGACGAGGCAAAGCTACTATGAGAAAAAGCAGAGAGAGCATATTTTTAGAGATCAAAATACCAGCTTCCGCAGAGTGGGAAAATACAGATAGAATCAGTACATTAAACTAACTAACAATGATAATGAAATCTGAGCATCTTTAAGAGCAAATGTTTGATCAATTATTTAAAAGAGCTATATCATGCAAAAACAATCTTTTTGCATTTAACTATTTTTTATACTATTCCTTCATTAAAGCAATGCACAAAGTAGAAATTTAATTAATTAATGCATCTCTGTCTGTCTAAACAGCTGCTCCCTTTTAGCTTATGCTTTTTAGTAAATGTTATATATTAAAAATATGTTGGCCACAGGAGGTCTCTGACTTTGTTCAGTATTTAGCAGTGGTGTGCTACAATGGTGACAGAAAATGGGTGGAAGATGGGAATGAGGCTTTGCTTTGAAGGCAAGTTTTTTCTTTAAAGCTGAAAGAAACATATTTATCTGATAACAAGAAAAAACATGTAAGGCTAAAGTGATTAATTAATCATTTATTTGCCTTTAGGTGACGTGGAAAAGCCTAAAACAGCATAATATTGGGCATTTAGCATGAGTTGCCAATGCACAGCTTTGTTTGCTTTAAAAGCTCTTATAAAAATTGTTTTGTACTTTTCTTTTTTCCTTTTTGGGTTACTCTACAATCTTGTCTCGCAATATCAAAAAAGACCAGTCGTTTATTGGCTTGATTTGCTATGAATTAGTCACGCTTCATACTTCATACACATTCACAGTGTCTCAGGGATTCTAATGTGACAATGAGTTAAACATGCATATTTTCCTCTCACTGGAAAATGTGCAAGGAAAAAATCCCATGATGTTATGATCTCAATGGAGCCCCACAGAGTAAAACCCATTAACAGCATGTGCTTGCCTAAAGAGTGAGTTCATTCCTATTTTAACACATATTCAACAACCCTAAAAAAGGCAATGATAGTAGAATTCACCAGTGACACCATATGTTTTTTGCCTTTTGCCATGAACATCATGCTTAAACAGTTTCCAATACCTTTCTGCAATATTTAGCTACTATGTCAAGTTTTCTACACAGTTAAAAGATTTTGCTATAACTTTACTTTGGCCAAAAAGAATCACTCTGGTCATCATCACACAAGAATAATACAACCCTACGTTGACTCAGCACTTGTTCTCAATCCCTCACTGAAACAAATGTACAGGCTTGTACTTTTTTGACTGACTTTTGCTTAGAAAAATAATAATAATTTTAAACAGCTTTAAAAAAAGAAACTGTGTATATGACACCAGCAAAAGATCTTGGAATTTGTTTCTCATCAATGAGATTTACTTAGCCCATGTTGCTTTCACAAAGTTTTGGAATTACCATAGGGTTTGGGATTTTTAAGTGTTGTTGGGATTTTTTTTTTTATTGTGACATACATCATTACCACATTTTCTACTATCATGGTGAAGATATACTTACTATTATATATCAAATTAAGGCACCTTAGAGTCACTTAAATTATTAATGCAGTCACAGCCAAACAGTAACAGACGATTTGAAGCTACTATGAGAAAAAGCAGAGAGCAGAACATTAGAGATTGAACCAATAGATTCTGCAGAGTTTGAGAATAGAGATAGAATGAAGCAGAATAATGAACAAGGGGTCCCTATGTCCTCCAGCAGTCTAAGCCTAAAGCAGCATAACTATAGAGATAGCTCAGAATAACATGAGCCACTCTAACTATAAGCTTTATCAAAAAGGAAAGTTTTAAGCCTAGTCTTAAAAGTAGACAGGGTGTCTGCCTCACAGACTGAAACTGGTAGTTGGTTCCACAGGAGAGGAGCCTGATAACTAAAAGATCTGCCTCCCATTCTACTTTTAGAAATTCTAGGAACCACTAGTAAACCTGCAGATTGAGAGCGAAGTGCTCTGTTAGGAACATAAGGAACAATCAGATCTCTGATATAAGATGGATCGTGACTCCATGCTTAACTCTTTATTAAAGCAACACATAAATACAAACCAAAGATTAGAGCAATTTTCTGAAATTCTCAAAGATCTTTACCAAACACTTGTTCCTGCAGATCCGTATCCCACAGGTCCATCTCCGGTCGTAGTGCCACCTCTTATCTAAAGCCAGCGCCTCTGCTGGTCCAGCACAAACACCCTGTGTCCCCGTACATTTCAGAGGAGTCTCTCCACCCACACCTGAGCCCTATTCAGGAGAGATAGGTAAATGTGTTTTTTTTTTTTTTTTTGTTACAATGCTCTTTTGTTTTTTTCTTGTTCACCCCAAAGCTTCCAAACAGATGCAGCAAAAATCTCTTAAGTCATTGGCTTATTAAGGGGAAGAGTGCTATAATAGGCAGATGCCAAACTTGGACAGTAAGTCCTTTTTCAGGGCACTTATGACTCGTTTGTGTCTGCATTTAAACAGACATTTGGGTATACTGAATCACGGTCATATATTACAAGCATGTTGTGGAATTTAAGGCAGGGTCGTCAAGCGGTAGCAGATTTTGCAATTGATTTTAGAACCCTGGCTGCCTCTTCTGGTTGGAACACAGAGGTATTAGAAGGAGCTTTTCTACAAGCACTAAATAAGAACATAAAGGATGAACTGGCTTACCAGGGTCTTTGGAAGATCTCATTACTATAGCTATTAGGATTGACAAAAGGATCAGAGACAGAACCTGTTGTGCTTTCCATAATGAGAGTACTGATAATAAAATAAAAAATATCTGGCTTCTGAAATTTAAATGTGATAAATAGCCCTTTTGATGTATAACAGCTATCAAAGCCTTTTTGAGTTGATCGTTATGTAATTATGCTACTGTATAAACTACTGTATAATACTGTTCTTTGGGCAGTTTTTGAAAAAAATATGAAAATATTAATATTAAAAGGGTACAGTGCGTGCTACTGCAACAGTTCCTATTGTTGTGTTTATACTCTAAAATTGGGAGGAGATAGTTGTTCTATTGTAAGTATTTTATAACAAACTTCAGTTACGAATTAATGCAATAAGAACACTCACTCAAAGGTAGTTCTCATAACTATCCAGCCGATGACACCATCCAAATCTGTAATATGCTGGATACATACATGCTCTATGTATCCAGCATGGTGTAGAGTTTTGTCAAGCTTTGTCTGATCGGTTCAATGGTAACTTTCCAAGGCTTCAAAATTGTTCAGAGGGCTTGATATTTTCACTAGGGTTACCAGTCAGGAATCAGAGAGCTGGTAGCAGGCTCCTCTTATACCCTTTAGCTGATGGGACTAGTTTCCCGCAGCTGTGAATGATCAGCTGCAGGTCAACCCAGCCCATTATCTCACCGATTTCATCTGGTGGGAAGCTATAAAAAACAAAAACTATAGAAACTGAATATGTTCCCAAACCCCAATAAATGTAGGTTAAATCAGATACAAACTACATAAATAAATATGTAAAAAGGAAATCAGTTAATTTCAATCAACTAAAAAAAAACAAAAAAAAACATAAAATAATATAATGAATTCCATAAATACACAGCTCCAGTCTAAACTATATACACACCTAAAAGCAGGAATTACAGTAAGTACATTATAATGGATATTTTAAATACAGCAAGTAATAGATCAAACTTTTTTCCTGGGCCAATACACTCAAGTAGTGAGGCCTTCCTACTGAAACCAGCAGAGTCTGAGGGGATCTATTAACAAATGGAATAGTATTGAATGAAAGAAGGTGATTTTTAAAGCCAAAAACAGTGGCACAAACACAAGGAGCTGAAACTAACAATTACAAAACATTGAAAAGAAATAATAGGAAAACTAAATACTGTTAGGAATCCATTTGTGTGGGTTGTTTGTGGATTTTTTTTCTCCCTCCACCACCAGGTGGTGCCCTGTCCTCATTGGCTCTCCTGCACATCTGCGGCTCCTTGGATCATTACTGAGGAGTATTTGAGCAGTGGACTGTCACTACCTTGACACCAAAGTGCCAGTTTTGGGTACTCTAGCCAAGCTGAGCTTAGCTGAGTCTAACCTGAACCTTTGTTTCTCTGAGTCTAACATTGTTTTTGTCTTTGCCTTTCGGCAGGAAGCCTTCCTGTGTAACTGGATGCCTGGCCTTCTCCCCCTGGAAGGATTACACTGAGCAGGGGAAAACATCCACATGTGCCGTTCAAGTCCCTTTCGAAAAAAAAGTGACAGTCCGCTCCATTGCTCCCCCCGGGTCCGACGAATGTCCACCTGTCCAATGAGTTCCCTCTTCTCTGGATAAACCCACACTGACTGGATTCAAAGATTAACAAGAACCCCCTCAAACGTGAGTCCCGCCTCCACAGAACTCAAACCTCAGTCTGTTTTCCAACGGTCCCTGAATTGATCACTGTGATCTCCCCTCCAGATTTTCCAGTTCCGGTTCACCAGTTCACTGAGTTCCAGATCCATCTCCTGTACTATTACCTCAATAACCCTGTTTGACTTTTCCCGTGTTCTCTGAGTGGTTCTCTGCATGTGGATCAGATCCCTTAAAACGATCATGACAAATACAGAAATGAAACAATGTACAGTTTAGTGATACAAAGGCTGTCAGAGGGTCATCAAGGTTAGATCTGTGTGCTTCTGTTAGCCAGAGTCACTTATCCATGAGTGGCTCATCATTCTGCTTCCTGACTACTTACAATCATAAAAAGAAACACAACAGGAAGAAAACATCCACAGGAAACATAAGTTGCACTAAAGTTTTCATTGTTTTTCACAAATTTTCACTGCACTGTTCTTATTATTGTTTGGCATTCCTGGTTTCAGCTTACATGGAGAAACAAGCATAAATGGTAGTTACCAGCTTTCCAGTGCTGATCAAGCATGCCTAAAGGGTTATTAACAAGGATTGTTTAACAACAGAATTTTAGACACAATTACATTCCTTCACTTTTTATTGCATTTAATATTAAGAAGTATTTTACCATAATTTGATAGTTTGTACTTTATTGCCTGTGGCCTTTTTTCATGTGAATTATAAAGAATAAAAACAAGACAGATAATTGCTTAAACCCATGACATTATTGCAGCTTTAGAGCTGTAATAGTTAAAAAGGCCTCTCCAGAATGAAGCTTAAGCCATTAACAACAAGCTATAAAACAGTTTCTCAGAAAGAATTGCTGACAAATCATATTTGGCAAACAGCAGTTAGTAGAACAGACATTTCTAAATATTTACTGCCACTGTCCTATTAATGGTCTACTTTTATTCCAGGCCTCACAGGAAGGAATCTCAATAGGTGCTGCTGGACAAGCCACAAAGTGAAGTCATAAAACTACACAGTCATGGTCTGGACATGAGACAGATTTGGATTTCTTTTTCATTAGTCAACAATTTCCGTTACATCAAACCTAAAACAGGATCCCACCCACAATTCTCAATCCTAAAGAGTTTTTCTGCTCATGTCATTATGTCAGAACTCAGGGTTTGTCTAATAATCATTACTATATACACTTTTTTTTAAGTACAGAATGTCAGAATGAATTGTTTAAACTCAAGGAAAAGGACTCTGTTGTGATACCATATTGTCATCATCTAAATTATTAGAAATGGACACAAAAGAATTCACCATGTTTAAATTCGAAAAGTGTGCTCGCCATAGTTTTAGCTGTGGGAGATTGCTGACAGCTCCCACTAGAGACATGTGCCTGCTGGCTACGTTTTTTTTTTTTCTTAACTTATAAAGAAAAAATAGCCAGGGATGGATTTCATTTCATCAGCTGTTGATAGAAAATAAGTGAGTACTTTGTAAAGTAAGTTGAGTAAGTTAAGGTTATGATGTTGAAATATTATGGTACCATTATATTTTCTTTAATATTTAATGCAAAATTTCACAAAATATTAAAAAAAGCTTTTAAAAAGTCCCTGTAAATGACATATTCAGGGCTCTCACGGCTAATAGAGATCAACCAAAGGTGGCAGGAATGGAACTCAAAAATTGGGATGGACAAAAGCCCTTATTGATATTTGGTATTGACATTTGTCCTGTCCGATTGGCTTTCACATCAGAATTCACATGTCATTAAAATCTTTCACAAATTATCACTCCTCAAAATTACATACAATAAATCTGTAACCAAACACTTTTATGCATAACCCCCCTGCCCATTGGTTTCTACTCTGTATCTAAAATAGAACCTTTGCATCATACTTCTCATTGAAATGGACCTAACTGTAGAGACTGACTGTGGCATAAACAAAATTTTTGAAGATAAGAAATAAGAACCTACAATGGAGAGCAAAGGAAATGAAGTTGAATTAATAATGGCGAAAGCAATAACTATGTATATAGAGCAGTTTAAATGAAAAAGCAGGGAAATAATATAAGAACTGAAAAAAAAAATGTATACTCAGGGAAAGTAAATGATTGTAATGAATGCAGATGAGTTAAATAGACATATGTGATGCTCCCTAAGATAAGTACAGTGAGACCAATGAGGTGTGCTAATTAACAAGAATTGACCTGAACAGAAACAAAAAGAAACAAAAAAAAATCTGACAGAGATCTAACAGACACTAATACACAATGAAAAACAAAAGATCACACCAAAATAAATTAAAAACAACACACACATAAATGAACCAATTAATCATGCCTAAGAACATAAACAAGAAAATAAAAGAAAATAAAGATACCTGATATTATTTACAATCCCAAGGATCATTACAATTTAATGTATAAATATATCCTTGAGTTGTTTATGTTTGTATATAAAATTTGTGGACTTTGCTAGAGCTGCACATAATGCATGTAAAGTTACTAAGGAATGAGTGTGAATAAAAGTAAGGAGAAAAATCACAAATGTTCTAAGCACAGTACAGATTTAGAGTGTTGTCAATACCTTGAATAATGGCTATCAACTGCTATTTTTCAAATATAAAACTTATAATGGAAATGCTGGAAAAAAGTCAGTCTTATTTAAGGTTTTAAAACATAAAATATGGAAATCATGTCTTATTGTCCTCCAAGTGGTGGTCTGATAATGCATTATTTTGCAGTACTTTTTTATTCTTTTGTTTTCAAAACCTTTAAAGGGATCAAGGGTCAAAGGGACTGCCAGGGGCAAGAGATGCAGGCCGCTGATTACACTAAAAGAAAAGGAGACACATCACAGACTCCTCACGGGAAGAGAAGACCAGAAAATGGTTATGGGAGCCAAAGTGGTGAGGGATGATGTCATGAGGAAAGACAGGCGGGCAGCCAGGGCGGGCGGTGTGTCGATGGATGGATGGAACAACAAAACTGAGGACAGGTCGTAATAAATGATGAAGTGTAGCAAGAGCCAAATGTTGTTTTTTTTTGGCTGGTAAATGTCTTTTCAGCAAACATGCTGGATGGGATCTTTTTCTGAGCAAATTTTGTCTAAGTGCAAATAGGTAGGAGTGCAAAGCTGGCTTAACGCCTTTCCCTTTCACTGGGCTTTGGCACTACTTTTTTTTTTTAAATAAATTGTACTCTAATGTATTAAATAAGTTTAACAGCATGATCTTTTTTTTTTTTTTGGTTTTCCTTTTTGTGTTCTCTTTGTGCAAAAATATCCAGTATTCTTAAAGTAAAAGAAACCTGTGTTCTGTCATGAATAGCTGTTTTCCAACTTCTATAAGAAAAAACTATTGGAATATATTGTTCTTAAAAGTAAAAGTCTAATTAAATCTATCTGTTACAAAAATGAATTAAAAATACATTATGAACCAAAAAAGTGTTCCCCAGTTTTGCAGAGCATAATACTGCCACTCTAACAATTTAAACATATAAGAACTTAAATGAATAGGGTAAAAATAAATATTCAAAGATATGAATTCAAAATTCGAATAATTAATCAATGAATTAGTAAAAGATTTTTGGCAAAAATTTTACATCCTGGGGGGTGGGGTCAAAATTGTTGGGGGGGGCACAAATTTAGCCAGTAGGTGTCAGTGTTCATCTTCTACACCTCTTTGCTGAATTGTTGCACTTTGTCAGAAAGAAAAAGTTCAGAGCTTGGCTCAGATTGCATCAAACGTCCTGATTGAAAATTTTATCTCTAAAATGGCTGTCTAAAAATGTGGGAAGTCTGAGCAATAAATTCCTTCAACAGAAATTATTGTAAGGGCTAAATAGATCCAGATCTGCCTTGGGCCTTTTTCTGATTTGAAATGACAGAGTCCATCATTCTGCCTTTTAGCTGTCCAACTTTTCATCTTTTTTTCGGCACCTTTTAGAATATCTTTCAATTTAAAGTTAGTGACAAGAGACAATTTTAGTTTGTAACTGAAAGTATAGATATCTTATACGGAGGAGACAGGAAGCTCATCATTCATACTTAGATCATAAATTATTTCTAACTTATTGGTTAGTGCTAAGTTGACAGAGTTGAATGTGCCATTTCAGAGACCTTGACACCTAGTCTAACAGACACATGCTCATAAATCAAACTCAACATGAAGTTAAAGCTGTTAATTTATTAGACTGAGCTTAAGGGTAACCCCATGTTTTAAACAAGAAGGGTTACGAAGGTGGACTTCCTGATAAGTCAAAGCATGCATGCATGGCTGGAGATGCAGAAACTTGCTTTGCAGACTTTCCCTCCTAAATTCCAATATTTTACTGGGAACACCATGTAATAAAAAAAGAACACTCCAGGTTTTAAAGATTAATTCTTTTTTTATTTATTTAAATACAAGTTTTTACATACAATTTTAAAGTTTACTTAAGCCACTTTACTATGTGGTGCATTTTCCAATACTGTACATTGTCCTTGAAGAAATTAAAGATGTGGAACTAAACTATTCTCATCAAAGTATATAATTCCCATAATGTTACACACTCTCCCCTTAGCTCTCTTTGGGCTCTCTGGCCTTTGGCTCCCATCATATGGCTTAAATGTCTTGTCCATCTGCTGGGATGGGGATGCCGTTTCCTGGTCTTCGGGTGGGGGTCTGGGACGTCGGAGAATTTGCTGCTGTCCTTGCAGGGGGTGGGGGTGGGGGGGGGGGTGTTTTATGTAAAAACCATACCTGAATGCATCTCAGCTTGTGTTATGGGTATGCCTTGCTGCCTGCCCTGACCCTGCACGAGGGACGCTCAGGGGCGTTTTCAGCTTGGCTTGGGTGGCTGGCGTGCTGCACTTGACCTAGGGAGGTGGACTACATGGATTGTGATTGCCTGGCAGCCATAGGTATGAAGGGAAAATATGGGGTGTGGGGGCCTGTAGAAGCTGTGTCTGGCTGGGGGCAAGGTGGGCTCTTCAGCTTGTTGGCTACTTGCTCTACCGTCTGTGGGTGCAGGTGTGGGGATTGGCCCGGGATGATAGTTTATGTATGAGGAGTGTAAGAGTATGTTTAGGGTCTCCCCCTGTGTGTATCTCTGTTGATCGCTTGTATATGTCCATATGGGTGTATGGGTGGGAATGTGTGAATATGACTGGATGAATGTGAAGTTGTTTCTGTCTACTTTTTAGGTTGGGT